TTAGTATATATATATATATATATATATATATATATATATAGATTATGACTGGCACAATTTATCACATAGCAAGTGATTGGCATTGTGGTTATCGCTCCCTGCAAAAAAGGCCTATCTACAAGAGGTATCAAGCTCCATTCCGCTGGGGGTTACCTTTTTTAAAAACTCAAAAAAAGGTTACGTTTTTGAAAGGTGTGAAAAAAAGGGTCTAATCATGGGATTCGAACCCTGACATGCTCGAATTGTTTGGGTTAGCAATAACCGTAACGGCACTTTAACGCATTTGATTAAATGTTTAAGTATTATTATAATTAAACTAAATAAATATGATGTACCACCTACTCGCCTGCAGGGCGAGGCCGAGTTCCCTTGGTCGAGCTTGAAAATGCTGGACCTTTTAAACCCTTATGTCAAATAGTTTTATTGTGGACAAAAATTCCTTTTAAGAAAAAGAAATACCGTGGTGATCTTGGCATCGCCCCACCCCACACTAAGAGGTGGGATTCTGTGTGGACTTTAAAATTGCAATATCTTTGTTTATGCACTTTCTTTAGGCACCCTGTATAAAGTGATTCAAAGAGTAGAAACTTGGAAGCACTACATATTCATCGCAACAAGGGCTTCTCTACTTACCCAAAAAAAAACAAGGGCTTCTCTGTCTTGATAGGCTGTTTTATTAGCAAAATTTGTCTTTTCAAATGTAGTATGCATCCTTTCTAGTGACTAATTGCAGTCATAAAATGTCTTAGCTTATAATTTGTTGGTATAACAAGCAAGTTTATCCAGAAGCTTTTGGCGGCCAATGGCTCAAGCAATTCGGTGGGTTAAAAATTTGATGCCCATATAACAATGGCCTCCAAGACCTTGAACTCTGAGGCTTTTGGCCCTCCCTGCCTCCTCAACTCTAGCTCTACTCTTCTCATCTCTATCCCTTCCACCTCCGCTGCCAACCTCGCAAATCTGTACAAGACGTCCCTAGTTGGTGTTTTTCATCCCCAGAGTCCAAAGGCATTGAAAGATGGGCCAAGGAAGGCTGGAAGGAACCAGGGCTCAAGGCTAGAAGGAGCCCTGGCTTCTCTTAGGAGTTCCTCCCTGGTCTCGTTCAAGGGAGCCTCCCTTCACCTTTCCAAATGGAAGGAGGATTTGGGTGCTTTCCGTCGGCAAAAAGTCTGGGTAACGGCATTTGAGATTCCTCTTCACTTCTGGTGCCTTGACACTTTTAAAGCTATCGGCAATGCTTGCAGCACCTTCGTGGTTGTACATTGGCAATCTATGGAGAGCATTGCACTCAGGTCCCTTCTTCTCATAGTAGACGTCCTGAACCTTCAGACCATCCCACCTTTCCCCTGGTTAGAAGTGGCTGGGAATTTCTTTCGGGTCTTCCTCTCTTGGTCGATGGCCTCCCCTCCCTCATCACGTTTCGTCTCTCCGGTGGACCCTTTGCAGGGAGAGAACCTTCACAGACATCTGTCTGCTTAGTCCCTCGAGCCTCAAGACAACTGGACTATCGTTTCTAGGAAACGACAACCACGCAAGCTCCATCATCAATATTTCCCGGTGTGACGCCTCCTTCTCTGCCTTCCACCTACCACCCCCTGTCCCCCATCACGAGGCCGCTCGTACCCAGGGTATTCCGAACCCTCCATCGACCCTTCACGCTTAGATCCTTTTCGGCTCTTTGCCAGAAATGCTTCACCTACTACTCACTGGTTTGTACTCTCTCTCCTTCTCAAAATCTCTCATCACGTCAACTACCGTAGCCCGCCACCCTTTCGCTCACCCGCCATCATCACTATCTCCAGAAGCCTCGTCCGGCCCGGTGGACAACACTCGGTCCCAATCCTCCAATCCCTTACCCATGGCACCTTTCTCTCTCCCTTTAACTCCGGACCTGACCCTGCCCCTCCCCCGTCCCCCCTCCTAATCGATTTTGACTTGGATAGGGGTGCCAATCAGGACCACCTCGACCCTTCTTCCTCTGATCTTCCTGCAATGGCAGACTCCTCTAGAGCAGAGAAGAACTCGCAAACAATGGATCCTAGCATGTTGGCCAGCCATGTGCTTCCATCGGTTATAGTTGGTTTTCCTGCCGACCCTCTTAGCGGCGACCCCATCATCATCTTTGTTCCTCTGGTCCCTCTTTCTCCCACCCCAGTTATTCTTCCAAACTTAATCCCACTGCCCACTCCACCTTCACCTATTCCCTTTCTTGACCCCTTCGCCGCTAATCTACCCCCCAACTTCTCAAATCCTCTTTTTTCGGCTCTTGTTGGGGAACCTTCTAGCCTCACTACCTTTTCCCCTCTTCCCCCTTTTCCTGTCATCCCCACTTGCTCACCAACC